TATTACAGACTCCAGGAACGTATTTGACAAGCTGCAAACCGAGGTGTTGGTGATCAAGGGAGCAGAAAAGAAGAGTAATATTGAGCTTGTGGGGCTCAAGGAAGCACAGGCAAGGACCCACGTCCAAGTGAGGTGGGTCCACTCAGAAGCTCAATTAGCAAATGCTCTTACAAAAGGGGGCACCAATCGCGAACTGGAACTGTTCTACCGGATGCAGCACTGTTGGCGTATCGTGGAGGACCCAGAGATCGATGCAATCAGCGAGGAAAAGAAAGTCCAAGGGAGTGCCTCCGTTGGAAAACTCGAGAAGTACAAACCCCGAGGGGGGATAGTTCCGGAAATTGCTTGGGGACGGGGTGGCATGCAAGTTTCAACACTTGACATGCATTCATCACACTCGTATGCGAGTGGACTTTGCAGTGTGTTCTGCCCAGGGCGAAAAGAGTAGAGGCCGCTGCAGTGCTTAGCCCTGCCTGTTTTCTCGAAGCCTCGTCTTGTGGCATTGAGCATCCCACTTGTGCAGTCTTGCGACTTTCATCCCCTACCATTACCACGACCACTGCCACCCTTATACTGCTACTATAACCAAGCTTCCACCTCACTCCGTCACACCCACGCCACACCCTTCACACCACACCCGGAACCCGGCGCTCAAAAAAAAAGACAAATGAGAAGCACAAAGCCGAACTCCAGCTGCGCACCATCTGGTAGCGCCTTCTCCGATATGCCATTACGAGCCGTAATGAGCACGACGTTGAGGAAGAGTCCTAGATGACTTCTCTGAACTTGCCTCCGGGAACAGCTGGTGAACCCGGCTTTTGAACCTCATACATGTGTGAGATTTTCTGGCCTGTAGAGGTTGGACAACCAATAAGCTGTTGGCTCCACCATGTATTCGCTTTTGGGTTGGTACTTTTATGGGAACATTCGTCCACCACTTCCCCGCCGCAAAGAACATGGTACAATAATGAATAATGATTAATGAATCTGATAAAGATCCAAAAACCAGGAGATCCGACACAATCGGCTTCGTTGAGAGCCAGAGTCCGCGGCGAGGGAATCACAAAACAAAAAACGTCATCAGCCACGTGATGAAGATAACCGAATAAACATATATACTCTAAAGTTTAGTCTAAGCCCAAATCCCTAATCCAGCCGGACTCTATACCTTGCATAAACCGCTTGACCTACTCGAAGAAACGAGAGATTCGCTGGGCTCAGAGAGTGAAGCGCCGCCTGAGGTGAGCCCTGAATTCATGGAATCCTCACGACAAATAATTCAATCAACCTGAAACAGGCCGAAAAAGAAACTCTTTGGCCTCTGATTCAAGAGATGCGGCCTGCGAGGAGCTCCGCCTCTTCCTCTTTTTGGCGGAGGACCTCTTGTTAGGCTGCAGGGGGGGAGGCCTCTGGAGAATCAGGAAACGACGCAAAAAGCCCACGTGGATAAGAAGTAGGAGCAGCTCCATGTAAAAATCCTAGAGCAGCAAGAAGAAGCGATGACCTAAAACAAAGGGTGTTTGACGACATGCCGAAACATGCATCTGCGTGTAATTGCCATTTAAAGCTGCTGATGCCGTCCTACGACTGTCTCTCTCTCTCTCTCTCTCCCGCTTTATCTTTGGCAGGGCCTTGGGGCGAGCCCTCGTCTCTCGCACTCTCTCTCTCTCTCTCGCCAGTCCCTCTCGCCCTGACTCAAGAAGTTATGGGTCGAAGTTTGGAAGCCAGCTCCCACGGTGCGCGTTCTCTCAAGCCTCGCTCGGCTCTCAACTACTCTACCGGTAGCATTGCCACTTTCGGTCATCCATCCAGACGCAAAAGCTGCTGGCGACAGGACATCGTAGGGGCACAGCCTTGGCAATGTCGGGCTTGAATGGCGGCGTTACCTTGGAGACGGGCAGCCGTCGGATTGGACAAAGCGGACATCTCCACCTAAGACTGCAGCTCTTCGCTGTTGTATGGCATCCCACTCGAGTCCCGAAAAAAATGGATGCAGCTTCACCTGACAGAGGGAACTGACACAGCCTGAGTTCTAGCCTCTGTCCCGCACCTCCTCTCCGTCTGCGGGGCCATCACCAAGTCTTTTGGTCGGATCCTTGGCAGATCTCTGGTGGCTCTCTGAAACTCCGTTTCTCCAGTCTATGTTGTGGCCTCTCCTTGCTGGATCGCCTTTTTCGGCAGGCAATGGTTCACAAGGCACCCAGCTTCTATGCAGAGCTTCCCAGCTTTGAAGAGGCTGAAGCGGAGTGGGGGAAAGCCACGGCTTTAGATTCTCTCCGCCCTGGTGCTCTTGGAGCCCCTCAAGAAACGAGCACAGCTGCCGCAGCAACGGCTCAATGACCTCTTGGCGCTGCCCAGCGAGGTCGTTGAATGAAGGCTATGCGGTAACGATGTAGACAGTGGCCACTGGGCCGTCCGGACGCGGGCCTCGGGCCCCATTCGGAATTTCGCTGCCCCTTCCGGATTGTATCGCATGTCCCCACACAATGGGAAGCCTAAGTGTGCCAAGTGCGCTCGAATCTGTTGCATGCGGCCGGATTCGATTCGTATTGCGATGAAGGAGACTTGCTGCCCAATATAGGTGCGCGAGAGCCTTCACCCTGCTCAGCGCAGGTCGCCCATAGCTTGACACAACAGATGTTTGGCCCACCTTCCGCAGCCGAAGGGAAATCTCACTATCGCCTGGCACCCAGCCTAAGCACAGCGCCGCATAGTCCCGTTCCAGATCTCCCAGCTCTCGCTGTGCTTGCAGAACGAAAAGGCTCTCAAAGCTTGTGGCCTGGAATACAAGACCGCTTGAAGGAGTATCGAGCCGGCTGATGAAGCCGAGAGTTTCACCGAGTCCGAGACCGAACATATGGCTGAAGCCAGACAGAGCCTTACCATGTGTAGTGCCTGCTGTGTCTACCTCCCAGGCTGAAGGCTTGAAGAGGACCACAACTCCTGGCACTTGCAGAACTACCCTGGGCTCACTATCCGTCTCAGCACGATTTGGTTCACTGATTCTCTGCAGCTTCTGAGTCTTGCTCCGCCTCGCATCCAAATCATGCACAGCTGGCGCAGCCGATTTGCGATAGCAAGCACGGACTCACCATGCGTAGCTTGGCCTTCGGCGCGACTCCGGTGAGCCCAAAGGAGTCACAGAAACGAGTCTGCATCCTGCACGGTCGCGCTTTTTAAACGCCTCTCTGTCACCGTCAGCAAGTGCGTGGCAAGTGTGACATCCAGCATGCCGAGAGAAGCATACGCCCAGCTGATATTCGCCAGGGCTTGCAGGCCGAAGCTTTGGCGCTGCACGATCTCTGCAGCAAGTGGGTGCATCACTTCTTCGCGTCTCACCCCAGCAGAAGCGAACGCCCAGGCCACCTGCGACAGGTGATGATCCTCCAACCACTGGAAATTTGGAAGCTGCAGTCTCTGAAAAAATGCAACCACGGCAACCTCGTTGTCCATGCTCCCAATCGCCCAGAGGCAGCTGCTGAATTCTTGGGACTAAAAAATGCTCGGTCGTGCGTGTTTAGAAATTGCAACACGTCTTCAACCTCATCGACATTGAATGAGAGTTGCAACTTGGCCAGGGCCCAGAGTGAGTTGGCGAGGGTCTGCGGGCTGGCACCTTGGAGGTCAAGCTTCTGAAGTGCCGGTGGCGGTGGTACCATGATCACAGCATGTGCTCGCAAGAGCGAGCTCGATGCATGCGAAGTGCGTGGGCAGAGCTCCAAAGATTCCGTGACGCTCGGCCAGATGGCGCTGGAAGCCAAACGGATCTCCGCGAGAGCCCAGGTGGAAGCAACCAGTTCGCTCATGGCCAGTGGCCTTCGACCCTCAAGCTCCTTCAACAGGACAGCTGGAATTGAAGATTGGACACGTGCCAAGGCCCGGAGCACGTTGGACAAATCCTGGGTCTTCGCATTTGCTGAAAGCTCGTGGGCATGCAGAAACAGATCATGTCGAAGTCGAACGGATCCTGCAGGGAACCCTAACCGCCGTAACCGCATTTATACAAGGCCTTAAGCTAAGCCCATAAATGCCCTAAACGAGTGGGGTCTGATTGCTCAACGGGACCCAGCGCCCAAAGGCAGCGAGCCAGCTATGCTCCCTGCAGACGATCCAACGCGTGCAACGCGGCCCCTTTACCCAGCGCAGCTCGCCATGATTCTGGTGCCACACCAACCAAGGCTGCAGCCCAAACAAGGTTCGCCAAGGCCACCTCGGACACGAGACGATCCTTGCAGCTGCTCTCCAACCAAATGCAAGTGAGTAGCGGCATCTTTGGGAGGGAAGTCCTGGTAGCATCTCAAGAGAATCCGCCTCAGACTTCTGCGTTCTGCGCCCGTTCAAGTTCTGTCAAAACAAGCTTGCGTGAGCTGTGCTGTGCTACTTGGGGTTCTTGGCTTTGTGAGCTGCTGGCATGAAGTCAGCGTCCAATAGGTGCACCCTTGCATAGGCCCACGCAGCATTCCCCACATCCTTGCTGGAGGTGAAAGTGCAAAGTGCAGCCAGAGAAAACAGACTCTGCCAGGACGACTCCTGTCCTACGTCGTCTGGACGGGAAATGCCAGTAGCCGGCTCTTCATGGATATCAGCTCCCGGTTGCTTCTTGAGCTGCTTGCCCGTAAGCCAAACCACACGACAAAGTCTCGAAGGCTCCACGATATGCAGTTGACGCCTGCGGCAGGAAACAACTCCTGCAAATCTTCGGCATTTCTAGCACAGCCCAAGTCACTCAGGAAGTTTGAGCAGCTGCAATAGTGTGGCTTGGGATGATGTTCCACGGAGGATGCTCTGGCAGAGCTCCATTGCCATGGCTGTGGCCGATGTTGACCAAACTCCATGCGTGGAACTCTCCGAGCCGCCTTGCAGCCTTTGGGCCAATTCTTCAGGGCGGCGGGATGCGAAGGACTTCGCTCTGTCTTCAGACCTGCCCGGCATGTCTGGGCGCTGCACTTTCATGAGGAGCCGCTGAAGAAGGTTTTTGGCCTTCAGGAGCTGCTTAAGGTCTAGACCTTGTCCTGATCGTCTTGCAGAGAAAGACCCCGGCAATGGACGTGACGCAGGACGGAAACTTCAGGTCGCCCCGCCGGATGGCCTGGCCCATGAAAATCGCACGTGCAACTCTCATCAACTCTCGACTCACCGCTGACTCGTCCCTGACTTCCGACCTCAAAGAGCTTATCCCTGTCTTGCGTGTAGAACGGAGGCAGCCTTATCCCAGGACAGACAACCCGAGAAGAGCGCCCGAGGCAGCGGTGAAAGCATCCTGCTAAGCCTGCTAAGCATGAAGCCCGGTGAGCATCTCGTACATCAGTGCACCCAAGGCGTACCTGGAGACGGCCGGCTAGATCAACTCTTGTCGTCCTGCACCAACTCACCAACCCACCAGGCCGAAAACAACGGAATTGACACACTGGGTCACCAATCGACAGCCTTGCTGTGGCCCCGCTTGTCAAAGGCTAGAATTTCCGGTGCTAGGTACTCAGGGGTACCTTGGCATCGCGGCTCCAGTCGTTCAATTACCTGTCACCACGATCATGCCGATCCGAGACTTCAGCCGTACGTTCGCACTTCATCTTCCTGGCACAAGCCGTGTCAAGAGACAAAAAAGCTGGTCATAATTGATGCCTGCTGGCTCTTGCAGGCTCCTGAAACCCTTCCTTGCTGAGGCCAGTGTCCGTGAGTTTCACATGGCCTGCCAACGGTGTCCGTCAGCAAAGCGGTTGCCTAGCAATCTCTTTGCGCATAATAGCAATACCGACGCGCTCGTCTGCACCTTCAGCGTCTAGCAAAATGTTCTCGGGCTTCAGGTCGCGAAAAATGAGGTTCAGCCTGCAAAATGGCTGGGTCTGCAACGAACCACGGCCATCTACAATCCTGAACACCGGCAAAGCGCCCCAGGAACTCAGCAGCATCAGACTGCAACCCTACTTGGAAGTCGAGAAAGTAAGATGCCAGACAGCCGTACTGCCAAGGCCCGCGGTGGAGTTTTTGCAGATGTCTCGGGCAAGCGGTCGAAGTGAACGACTGGGATCTTGGATGGAGACATGCACTTACAAGGGAATGGTCTTTCGTGATATCATGCGGTGTGGCAGGCTGCGAACTTGAGATTGAGCCTGGAGCTGCAAGAGAGTGACTTTCCACTCTGCAGTGTTTGAAGAGATCCCACGGTGATCCAGCAATCCTCCTAGTTTATGTTTTTGCGGGGGTTTAGCCTGGGCATAACTAGGGCAGCAGAGGGGGCAGATGTACACATGGACCGCAGACACAAACAGTGACTGGTGGTAGCTCTGCTTTGCCGGGAAGACCAGCAGAGTATCGGCAGGCACAGGCACTTCTAAGGATCGGTTCGATAGCTTCAATGGGCATTGACAGTAAACAAAACCGTATGGCTACGAAGTGTAGCCTGCGATCCAGGCCGAGCCGTGCGCTAGGCCTTGTTGTAAAGACTGCTGCGACGGCTGGGACAGCCCAACACAGGGAAGATCCGCGGTCAGCACAGATCTGTAGAAACGTGGCTGCCCTCGGAGGCGTCATAGGATGTAGTCTCAACGTTGACGTGCTGTCGGGAGCTTCGCGGAACATTGAATGTGGCTGGCTTCATTTCAGGTCCGGTGCACTAACTTGGCCACATTGTATGCCCTACCAGATTGCGAATCCAAGCCAAACGCTGTTTAGCTTCAGGCTATGATTCATTTGTTGGGGGCAGCTTGCACACTTGATGGCCCGAGAGCTGCAGTTGTTTATGCAAAGGGCTGCCGCCGAATGAGGTGTTGGGTGCACGGAAAGCCTTGTGCCATTGTGCCATGAGAGGTACACTGCCGGTTTTCCACGCCGCTGTTGCACAGAAGGCATGAGCGCGACGCAAACGTCACTCCAGAAGAAGAACACTTCAAGTTCACCCCGCCTGTGCAAATATTCAATCGCCAGCAGAATTTCAGACGCATAGAACCTGGCAATTGGACAGGTCTACATAAAGTCTAGGCAGCAAATGATCCACACTCTCCCTTTCAGTGTCTCCCCCCTTGGCCTCGCTTTTCGTTCTGATGATTATGCACTTGTCTCGCTTGCACAGGGAAACCAGTGCAGCTGTGCCGGGTTTTCACATTCAGGAGACAGCAAAGGTCAAGATTGTGCGAAGCGAAAACTTGCAATGTCCAGGCCGCTTCTCCCACCGTCTGCGTGCAAATGGACAACTGAATGCAGCAAACTGCTAAGATGCTTCGGATAACATTCGCTTCTGCTTCGCATGTCTATCTTCAAACACTCCTGGCCACAGAATTGGGTCAACACATTCAAACTAGTCTTAAAGGCTGATTCGTTGAGCTCGGCACAATGCTTGGATGGCTGCTGCAGTGCTATCGTCTTTGCTTTGAGCTTCGAAGCAGTGTCAAGCGCCCTAGTAGAAAGGACTCCTCGCGTGGTCGGGACGCACGCGAAACGTGTGTGAATTGAAAAGTTTGAAAGCACCCCCGCTTCGCGAGGCGGCTTTGCTGCATTTCGAGGAACCAAGCGACGCACTGAAAAGTGGCAGGCAGCCTGTCTCTTTTTCTGACCTGCACTCCTCCAGCGCAGTTCATCTGGCTTCGGCGTCTAGGGATGATTGATCCTGGCCCACCGAGAATGCAGGCAGCACCGTGGCACCATGCCTTGCATGTTCTGCTAAATTTGCTGGTTCTGCTAGCCCTGTTCAGTTCACATGTGCAAGCCGAGGGCCAACGAACAAGATGAATTCCAGGGCACGCTTCAAATTGGTGACGTTTGCCCGGTGCCCCACCCAACATACTGCGACCGGTGCTGCAGGAAAACCGCAAAAACTGCCTCCAAATGCTCCACCAGGCTCAGAGTTGAAAGGTAGGGTCAAATTCCAGGCATTGCTGGTTGCTGCTGAAGCTTGCATCTTACATCGAGTGACGTGCCGAAAGCGTCCATGCACTTGAACCCAGGTCAATGCGCTTCAGGCTGTCAGGAAGCTGCGCTTCAGACAGCGGTCGCTTCTGGACTTGTGAAGTGGATCTCAAGCAGGGTTGCAAAAGGCTCCGTAGACCACATCCATGACACAACCATGCACCACACTCTGCCGACTTCGAAGCAACTGCTGCAACAGAAGCGCGAGGAAACATTGAGAAAAACTGGCAGGGCAGCTGGCAGACGTCTCCCGAATGCCAGCAGGGAAGAATTGCACATCCGTCAAATCACTTTGACGTGCGGAAAACAAAGAATTCTATGCTGTGCCGCATCAGCGTGCTTTCTCGCAGCCAGAGCGCAGCAACTATGATCTACCTTGCTCTTGGCGGAAGCTCCTGAGAGACGGAGTATGAGTAGGCTTCTTTGCACTGACATGTTGTTTTGACCCAGCCGCAAACACGACAGGTGGAAGCAGCCCGATCAAAGGCTTACAGCATCCATCGGACAATGGCACCAAAGAGTCGCAAGCTTTCCCTCGGCCCAACCTGATGAGGAACATGAGGCCATGTAAATGCACAGCCGCACACATGACAGACGCCAGCATCAAGTCCCCACAGCCAAGCTGCACATGCCCCGGTCGTTGAGAACGAATTCCATGGAGCTGTTCTTCTGCACAGGTATATCGATTCTCCACCACCGACCATGGCTGTTTGGCCTCGGGATCTTCGAGCTTGAGGAAAGGTCACAACGAGGGGAACAATGGGGAGGGACACCGTGCAGGATGTGGCAAAGCTTTCTGACAGCATGCTTCTTGCATCATGACGTGCCTCGAATACTTGGTTTCTCAGACTTGCGGAGAGGCCAGCCAGGACTCTCTGTCGACACATTGCCGATGGAGAAATGAACATGGGGCGCATCCCAGCCGGAAAAATAAAAGACCCTCTGGCTGGAAAAGTCTGTTGGCCCTCGTGCTCTTGTGCAAAGACTTGCCTTCGAGCTGCAGCCAAGAAGCGTCATGTAGTGCAAATCGGGATTTGGCGCCGGGACCGGTCAAGCGGGCGTCCCTGGGCCTGATGCGACGGTCCAGTTCCGACAAAGAGCACCCAGCCTGAACAAACAAAGCTTTCGCAAGGTCCACTGGTCTGGTCAAGATGTTCACGGGGCGTGGGCATTCGCTTCTTCTGTTTCTTTCTCTAAGCCGTGTCGGGTTCTCGGGCTCCGTCAATAAGATTCGCTTCGATGTCCGCTTGCATTATTGAAAAACTCCAGCCTTGTTCGATCTTTCTCACTCTCGCAGCGTCGTGCGTGTTTTACTGGTAGAGTGGTTCCCACTGTTGGCCTCGTCACGCTCCCGGGTCGCTTCCGCCTCCAGAAGTCGTGCTGCCACCTGTCCCGTGCGTTTCATCCTCGGCCGTGCCGTGTGCATTTTGGGTGCATGCCGTGCTTCGCCTGCCAAAGTGCAGCTCGTCAAGCATTTTGGGTTCGACTCGTACTCTGCAGCGGCGTTTGCATTTTGCACTGGGGTTGGTCCGTATGCATGTTGTTTTTTGTTCTGTCGCTGCCCTGTCCCAGCGCTACCATCGGCAACGAGAAGCCAATGACCAACTTGTAAGCCGCAGCTGTATTGACTATCTTGCTATGCGTCCTAGTCTCTGACAGGCACAACTTTCTAACATTCTAACCCAACCAGCACTACAAAACCTGAACCTGTGTGCTCAAAGAAGCCAGTGCTAATTCTCAGCAAGATGAATTTCTTCCTCCTCTCCTTTTGTTCGTCTTCTTGGCTGTTTCTTCCTTGCTTCTTGCTTGCTGGCTGACAGGCCAGGGGAGCTTCTTGCCCATGCCATCCATGCCAGCCACCTCTCGCCCCTTTGTCTTCTGTTGTATCTTCCATCTCTCGCTCTGCTCCAGTTTGCGGGATCGTAGTCGTATTTCGACACCTTCGGCCTGCAAAGCTTCGCATGGCGACGTCCACGCCTTTACTTCTTGCAGGCTGAAGCCCTCCAAGGCCCACGGCAAGCCAAAGTCAAGGCTCTTGGTGGGGACGTTGAACACGGCCAATCCAATGGGACAGTCTGAAAGTGTCAGGAGGACTTGCATGGTCTCGAATTGCGACGGAGGCCAGGCCCTCATCTCGCACTTGAGGTTGTATGGAGCCAACGCAGCTCGAAAGCCAAGCGCGGCTTGAACCACAGGACAGTGCGCGCCGTCTTGATGCATCAACACACTGCCCTCACTCCGGGCTGATAAGCCCATGCCAAGGCCGCGTCCTCTGCGCTGCGCCAATCAATGCCACAGATGGCGGGGCCGTCATTCAGCATGGTGTCGTGGTTGCGCACAAATTGCACTGAGTGGTGTCCCAGGCTCTCTGCTGCAGACAGTTGTGACACCAGTCCCCCAGCATTCTTACAGCGCCAAGCAATTCTGATAGCAGCTGCTACCTTGAAGTCGGTAGATGGCACGCCTTTTCCGAGCTTGTCGTACTGCGAGTGAAGGTGGCGATCCATGGAAAGAACGTCCGTGTAGACAAAGGCCCCCTCCTGCTGACCGTAGTCAACATATCGTGCAACGTGGGCAGGCCTCATGTGCTTGGCAGCATCAAGGCCTCAGCCTTGCGGACCTTTGCATCTTACGTCTCAGGCTGGAAGTTTCTCAGAGATGCAGACATGCCGAGCTGCGGAAGCTGGAAACACCACAATCTAGCAGCTGCCGCAGGTGCTCAAGGTGCAAATTCACAACCTTGTCACTGAAGCGCAGCTCACTCCATTCTCCGCAGCCCCAACCTTCGAACATATATAGCTGGGGTCATCCCACTTGTGACCTTCCAGGCAGACCCAAGGCCACTGGAAGTCGTTCCAATCCAATTGTGGCCTGAAGGTCCGATCCAGTCTGCCCTTCAACTCCTCCAGCTTCCCACGGTCCTCTTGCGCTTCGCGCCACTCGCTGCAGGACGCAACAACAGCCATGTGGTTGAACACGCAGTCTGCAATCCTCAGTAGATTCGAGCAGATGTCAGTCTTGCATCTCTTGCACGCCTCGCATCTCTCCGCTGGATCGCCCAGGGGCACCATGATGCGGAGGTTGGTGGCATCTTCGCAAAAGCCGTTGCGGGCCCTCGTAGCCACCTCGGGCACGGAGCCTTTGCACTTCCTTGCCCTCCGAGCTCTGCACAAGCCGTGAGTTACCATTGAGGACGCCGCCCAGTGCAGGATCGATCTCCAGATGGTTCAGTGGCTGATACCGCAGATACCAGTGTTGACGCAGATCGCCTGGCTCTTGGACTCTTGGGCAGGTTGGCCACATCCAAACCCTTCTTTGTGCTCCTTGCCTCGTGGGCTCAGCGGAGCAGGAGGGATCTGACCGGCATCGAAGCCTTTCCAAGCCAATTCCGGCAAAATTTGGCCTTAGGCGGCGCTTCAGAATTCAGAGCGTACCCAGATGCTTGGACACACGAAGGCGACTGCATTTAAACATCAAGAACCCAAACACACGAGCACAGCGAACATGGCTGCGCGGGGGCCGGACGAATCTCTTCGAAGGAGAGGTGCAAGGCATGAAAGATTGTGCGTGGCTGTGTTGGACTGTCGTTCCTGAAGGCAATGTAGCCCCGCCACTACACGCGAATCTTTTGATTTACGGCCCGTCAGGTCTAGATGAGAAACTGGTCGTCACTCATCTCTTCGATGTCGTGGTCATGGAAAGCTGTCTCTTCCGTGGTTTCGGAGCGGTTTGAGTCCTCCGGGCTGAAGGAACGAGGCTGAGCCGCAGAGCCCGTCCCTGGCCAGGCCTGACCGGAGCCTCCGAAGAACCAGGAACTCCAGGATTATCTGGGACGCGACGCTTCGTCGTTCGCCAGATCGAAGTCCAAGCCCTGGGGCAATCGCGGCCCGTGCATGCTCGTAGCTTCTTAGCTCTCTTCCTGAACTCTTGGCAAGCGCAAGAATGAGACAGAGCTGCTGGTGTACCACAACTGGAAGCACAGGCCATGTCTGCTCGCCCTTCCATCAGGTCCTTGATGTTCTGCGGCCTTCTTGTTTCACTTTGTGTGGGTTTGTTTCTAGCTTCTGGCAGCCCGTTCCTTGCTTCCGGTGCTTTGCTGCAAGCTGTCGTTGTTCTGCTTTTTGTGCTGCAGTTTGATCTTCGCTCTTCATTTGAAACACCTGTCTTGAGATACCTTCTTTCTTTCCTCTGTTCTTGTCGAGTCTTTCCTTGGCTTCGTTTAGCATCGTCTTGTCTGCCTGGCGTTCATGTACAGCTCCCTCCTGCAGGCATCATTATTTCGTTCATCCGCTTCTATCTGTTCGTTTGAAACCGCCATGTCCTATCGTTCCTGCTTTCCATCTCTTTGTCGCTCTTGCTATCTCGCAGCCAGCTCAACTGAGATCGCAGCGGACCGCAGTGGCCATGAAGCATAGTTCCCGCAGAGCAAATGCAGCAACATCGTAAGGTCGTAAGGCTTCAGTCAACGGCCAGGCCTGTTTGCCACAACCTGGAAACAGGGGGGTAGACAGTGAGACAGAGAGAATCGAGGAGGCTGAAGTTGGGGAACAAGATGGGCCAGGCATGGCAAGCCTTTAAGGTGGACGTTGGCACCTGGTCAGGACGTCGAAGAGGCCCTGCAAAGAGGGCGCTCCGGTCCCTTAATTCACACCTTCAGGGAGCGGCGGCCGCACTTTCCTTGAAGCCAACGGATGAAGCCCTTAAAGCAAAGGAACACCATGGCGCAGAAAGGACAATGTCAGGTTCACGAAGTGCTGGCAAAGGAAAGGAAGCCAGTAAGGGGTTGCGATTACAGCCAAATTTGCTTGCAACCGCCATGCCTGTCTGTCTTGGCTGAACACTTCAATCAACAAAGAGCTTGATTTCCTAGCCTGTAGGTATAAGATTGAGCCGCACCCACATACGAGTAAGGATCACCATGCACGAAGATGTGCAAGACTCCAGTCAAGACTCCTACCCAGCAAGTGGGCGTGATCACCGGTCGCGGCAGCACTCCACGCCTGCAACGGCCTTCTGAGAAGCGCCCTGCTCGGCTGAGGTGGAATAAAAGCTGTCCACCAGGGCCTGCAGTGGGGTTGGCACTCTTTTATAGCCTGGCTCATGGCTTATCTACTTCCTTGAACAGGTGAAGCATCCAGCCCACAGGACGACAGACAGAGGCCCATGCAGTACTCCAGAATCAAGTACAGCCTCGACATCAGATGCAAAGCTGCTGGAGGCTGTCTGGGACGAGGCTTGAGCTCCGGACTTCTTTGAAGTGTGAAAAGCGTAATATAAAGTTGCGATGAATGGATGAGACGCGGCCTCGCGATCCGAAGTAATGCAGGCTTCCAAACGTGCGCTGGGTGAAATCATGCACGAGGCCGGACGGCGCCCTGCCTCTAAGACATTTTTTCCTTCCGTCGTCGTGTGCTCTACCTGGTTACGCTTTGTCACGTTCTCCTGGCAAGATCATTGTAGGCTGGAAGCTGTCACTACCAAGAGCTTGAATCCCCGTTTGCTTAGTCAAGAAGGCTGGCAGTGCCTTTCTGAGCGCCTTCATTGCATAGACATGGTCTCCTTCGGCCTTGTGCCGCACAAGCACCACCTGAGGAAAGAGCAGAGATCGGAAGGATGCACCAGGAGTGGCGAGCTACAGCTCCGACCTTGCCATGGGAGCCCTTGCCGATGACCTGTCGACCAAGACGCAAGGCCCGTAAGGCTGGCCATTCGCTGCGCACTGTGCCTTCACAATGTTGAAGTCATCTAAGCTCGGAGAGCCAGGAAGCATGGCTGCAGATGGCTGCAGCCTGCACAGGCAATGAATTCACCTGCAAACAGCCTGGATGGCCAGCGGTTGCCTCAGCTCCCGTCCGTCGCATCTCCGGACGAATGATTTGACTCTAAGCCACGAAAGTCCACGAAAGGAAGGCAAAGCTGGGAAAGCTGCGCTTGCATTTAGCCATCGAGTCCTTTCACATCTTGAGTCTTGAGCCTGCTCCCGCTCTAAACGAGGCTACCGTTTTGGCAAGCCGAGTCCAATGTACAGAGTACTACAGAACGTACAAGCTTGTAATGCTTGTAAGCCAGGTCATTTCGCTCGCGTAGCAGACAACTGGAGCTCCCTCGTGACCCCTACGAGCCGCACCGATGCGAAGCGTTTCACCATCGAACATTCCCGGAACATACAAGGAATCACTGAGATGGGGGGGTCGTTCCGTTCACTACGGGCCCTCAGCTGTCTGAGCCAACCGAACTTGCAGTAACCCTTGTGAATCGAGACGGCTTCAAGCCAACTCGACTAAGCGCTGAAGAGACTTTGATCGGCAGTCACTCTGCTCAACGGAAGGCCTGGAGACAGCGTCAGCACTGTGTCTACACTTCGAAGTATCCATGCACAAGGCGCAGGCTGTAGGAGCCACGGAGCGTCTCCAGGGCCTGCAGTTTGCACCCAACCCGGACAGGCCGGACCCCTCATTGCAAGCTGTTTCACACGTCGTTCCGACCTTGTCACAGGCCTCGCGCCGAGATCTCTCCCAGCGTAGCTCGGAATGAAGACGGGCCACCAGAGCTTCGTACTCTGCGACCTGAGCATACTAGAACCTCGCACTTGTTCCTTCGATTTCCTTCGATTCGCGACCTCCACGAGCTCGGAGAGCTCTTCCTGCCTCGGGTCAGACGCGGCCGCGAGTGTCAAGCAGGTGAACGGCCTGGTGCAGGGTTTGTCAGTGGTTATGCGGCTGAATAAATTAGAACCGATCAAAGGGACGATGGCAAGCACAGGTGGCTTCTCACAGAACAAGCTTGAGTTACGTTCGAAGCGTTCCCGGTTCGACCCTCCTGGCCGGCGGAAGTCAATGGACAATCTGCATAGCAGTGCTAGGGACGCCGAACACGCGGACTCAAGTAATATATATATATATAATATATATATATATATATTATATTATGTACATAGATTTCCTCAGGAACGCAGATTGTGACAGCTAAGCCTTATAGGGATCGCCATTCGCTCGGATTCGTGAAGACGAAGGCACGCAAAAAGCCGTCACAACTGACAATCGCCTAGCCGAACTCCCGTTGCATACTATTTGGCACCTCCTTCACCGATAAGCCAGGACACGGTTGGACAACCACAAATAGTCTCCACACGTGTTATAATTTGGCTTGTCATCTTTATCAGGTCATTGGTTGATCACTTCCTCGCCCAAACAAACATGGTACAACAGTGATAACAGACAAAAGGTAAAGACCTAGAGCGGAGGGAAACCAAACGACCTAGAGCGGAGGGAAAGCCAAGATATCGTTGAACGATCAGCCGCATGAAGATAAACGCATTGTCTAAATCCTTTATACTCTAGGCGGTCTCAACTCTGTACCTTGCATACCGAAGAACCTACCCTATGCCAGTATCGAGCTCAAGGAAAAATAGCATTCGCGGGATTCAGAGTCTGAAGCGACCCCTGAGGTGAACCCCGAAGGCCGGAATCCGTATGACAAACTCTCTATCTGAAACAGCCCGAAAAAGGAACTCGTCAGCCTCCCGTCCGAGGCCAGGAGATGCCAGCGAGGAGCTCCGCCGCTTCCCTCTCCCGGCCCAGCTCCTCTTGTGAGGCATCGCGGGCTTCAGTCGCAGCCTCTTGAGGATGAGGTGAAGATGCCAAAACGCACGTGAATAAGTAAGAAGTATATAATTAAAAAGAGCTAAAAGGTCAAAGCGATGTACGAAATGCAAAGCATGCTTCATTTCTGCTAGTGAAGCCGTGCTTGGCATAATCTGGCCCGCGCCACTGCGTGGGGCCTTTGAAGCCTGAGGGCTAGATGCTCCTAGACTCTGGACCGTGCTGGACTGCACCAATAGCTAGATTCTCGCTTGCAAAGCGCAGCCGCGCTCTTCAGCCCATCTGTGGCAACCCGATATTTTGTCGAAAGCTGCTAACGGAAGCCACCAACAGCAGCTGGGCATCCAGCAGCAGCATAGGCCGATACAGCTGTGTTGGACTATTCTGCTAGGCGCAAGCTCGAGCAATTCGGAAACAATTGGCGTGGACCTAAGAGCCTCGATTCCAGCACCATTTCTCGCAGATCAATACCATCTACAGACGACACACCATCGCGTTCAAGATGCTTCCAGCCAGCATTGAGCTTGTGAGATGTGATGCATACGAACCTGGCATTGAAAGCCCGATCGTGGAGCCTAGCAGGGCATATCTCAATGTACGCACGGGCGCAAGTGTAGTGCACAGCATTTACATGCACAGTCATTGCAATGGCTGGCAGAGGGAAAGTTCACCGCTGTGACCGGTGTCCGAGGCTGACTGACTACAAGAGCTTCCGGAACCGCGATTCGATTCGAAGATCTAGGATCAAATGCTACTGGTAAGACTACAGAACCTCACGGCAGAAGACTGCAGCCGAAGAGAAGCCTGGAGCATCGAAAGCTTACTGTTAAACTGCGCCTTTCTTGGCGGATACATATTGGATCTGTTGAGATGCGCTGTAGTGATGCAGTGGCCTGAACCTACCTCCAGCCCGACTCGAGAATCGAGGACGGGTCCTTCAGGCACTTGGCCAAGCTCAGGGTGGAGCGAATGGTATTCTTGTGTTGGGCGCCGTGGACAGACCGACCTGAAAAGTGCTGCTGTAAAGGGTGAAAATAGCAGGTAAGAGCGAGAAACAATGGAAAGTCGCGACTTGTCTCGACCCCCACAAATGGAGCTGAACTCCGACACGACTTCGTAGAAGCAACGCAACTCGCAGCGCGCAGTGCAGGCCGGGCCGCATATCTCGAGCTCTTTGCGGAAGAGCTGCTCGGCCTCTTCCAACTGGCCCATCGTCTGCAACAAGTTTGCCAAGTTGTACATGCTGCTCATCGTCCGAGGGTGGGAGTTGCCACGCCGCGCCCGGCCTCGGGTTCCGCGATCA